ACCTAACCTGGAGGAAGCCTGGATCCTTCTCACTCCAGACGACTAACATCAGTTGATTAGGGAAGAAACCTCTTTGTCATCTCCAGTTTAGAGCATAGTTCCTCAAATCTTGTAGCTCCTTCACCCAATAACATTGCCTCTGCCAGTTATGTGATCTTTGGTACTTTTAATCTTTCTGAGATTCCCCCCTCACCCATAGGATAAGGATCATATAATTATTCCACATTGAGTCTGTAATACAATAATGTATATAAAAACGCTATGCAAACATAGAAGAACTATTATTATCTTTAACATTATACAATGATTTTTTTCCACTCATTTTAATGGTTCCCATCATAATTCACTTTCTCCTTCAAAAAATGCTGGCCTCCCTTACATACAGTAGTGCATCAGCTAGCACAGTACCTGTATACTTGGTTCTCCATAAACGTTAGCCTGCCCACTGCCCATTCCTGACTCCTAGTAATGTTACTATTCACCAACTGTTGGTTTTCACAGTGTAATTGGCCTCGGTTAAACAGATTCCAAAGCATAATGTCTCAAAGAAAGATTTAAAAATATCATGACTGCCTTCACTACCCATTCACCCACAGGTCTCTACAACATACTTTAGCTCACAAAGGGGAAAACCCTAGAAAGGAGAATGCTATAGGGGCAACCAGCCCTCTCCTCCCGCCCCCCTCCCCCCCATAACAGTGTGATGATAGTGCTGCTGCTGCTAGTGATAGCAATAAACATTGAACATTTCCTGTCTGGTCACTAATCTTTACAACAACCATATGTGATAATATTATCTTCATGTTAGAGATTAGGAAATTGGCACAGAGAAGTTAACTTGCCAAGTTCATGAAACTATTAAGTTGGTGTAAGGGTTCTCCAGAGAAACAGAACCCATTGGAGATATAAATATAGATGTAGATGTAGGTAGATATAGATGTAAATGATATAGATATAGATAAAGAGATTTATTACAGGAATTGGCTCACTCAATGATGGAGGCCCTGAAGTCTCATTATCTGTCATCTGCAACCTGGAGAACCAGGAAAGCTGGAGATATAATTCAGTGTACATGCCTTTGGCCTCTCTACTTGGAACAGGATAGAGCAGAGGTTCTCAACCTGTGGGTCGCGACCCCTTTGGCGGTCGAACGACCCTTTCACAGGGGTCGCCTAAGACCATCCTGCATATCAGATATTTACATTACGATTCATAACAGTAGCAACATTACAGTTATGAAGTAGCAACAAAAATAATTTTATGGTTGGGTCACAACATGAGGAACTGTATTTAAAGGGCCAGAAGGTTGAGAACCACTGGGATAGAGGCTAGGTTGGGGAATAATGATGCAACAAGACAGTACTCAAGTCCAGGGTCTGATCCTCTTCTGAATGGAATAGTAAATGGGGAAGCTATTTAAAGGAACACTGGCTAAAGCTCTAGCAGGGAAGTAGAAGCAATGCTTTGGAAGAGAGTGACAATAGAGGCCAAGAGTATGTCTAGCCCAGGGGTGGGCAAACTTTTTGACTCGAGGGCCACAATGGGTTCTTAAACTGGACCGGAGGGCCGGAACAAAAGCATGGATGGAGTGTTTGTGTGAACTAATGTAAATTCAAAGTAAACATCATTACCGGAGGGCCGTAGTTTGCCCACGGCTGGTCTAGGCAAAGATGACAATAACTGACTATTGATGGCTAATTCCTGAGTGAAATAAGATAACAAGGCAAATATCCATGAAACTTTGCACAGTCCTGAGGAAAGAGATCTCAACCCAGTTTTAACTAGCTTTTTGGTGCCTGAGAAACAAGGAGATTGAACCACATACTCTCTAGGGTCCTGTATGGACCGGGCAGTCCGTGACATTTCCAATCTGTACTATGGGATTGGGAGGGGGAGGGGGTAGGGGAGGGGGAGGGGATTGTGATCCCTGAAAATTCCAGGTAGTTGAAATAAAAAAAATAAATCAAGCATTGAAAGTTATCAGAGTACAACTGGTTCCTTACGGAGCCATTTGTGGCGAATGGAAGGAAAAGGAGCAATGGCCACTTTCCCAGGATCTCTGCTCTCGCTGAATATCACATGAAGTACTGGTATTCAAAAATAAGATTGCCAGGGGATGGGAGAGAAAGAAATACAAAAACAGGACACAGGATAGATGGGTGGATAAGTGTCCAAAGTTAGGACATCCAACCATTGGATTTGATTTCTCTGCTGCTTTGGCTCAGTGGTTAGAGCGTCAGCCCAGGAACTGAAGGGTCTCGGGTTCGATTCCAATGAAGACCACCTACCTCAGTTGCAGGTTCAAACCCTGGCCTTGGTCAGGGCATTTGTGGGCGGCAACCAATTGATATGCCTCTCTCACATCGATGCTTCTCTCTCTGTGGCGCTCTCCCTCCCTTCCCCTCTTTCTAAAAATCAATGGGAAATATCCTTGTTGAGGTTTAACAACAACAAAAAAGAAAATGGAACACTAGTTATCAGCAGGGGATCTCAAAACGATGGAAGCAATAGATTTTGATTGGATGGGTAAACTTAATGATGACTCCCCAATTTTAAAACCAAATGCCTAGGACCATGGTGGTCTCCCTGTGGGAAATGAGACCATGACTTGGGAAGAAAGACAGTATGCTTATTTTAAATAGGTTCCATTGGAAGCTAGAATAGGATTTTCATGCAGAAATACCCAGAAGCTGTTGGGAGGCAGAGCTGGTGTTCATAAAGAAAGTAGGGGCTGGAGATATAATCAGCCAGTGTCTGCATGGACATACAGTCACAGTGGCAGGTGTTTGTGCTGAGGGATAACATGGTGGCAAGTGAAAAAGATTGCCCAGGGCAGACCTTTGAGGAAAAAGAACAGGAGAAGGGGGCCACTGAAAGAGAGAGGGAGGAAGAAAGAGGGAGAGAGAGAGAGAGAGAGAGAGCAGGCGGCAAGAGAAGTAGAACATGCGGAGTTGTGGGGGTGAAGGGAGGAGGTTGAGGATGTAGCTGCAGGGTCTGTGTTGGGTGATAAAGGGTCACTCCTGGGCTGACTTTCCTCCCTCTGCCTTCACCCCACTCCACGCCATCAGGACTTTCTTTTTTCTTTTTTTAAAAAAATATATTTTATTGATTTTGTACAGAGAGGAAGGGAAAGGGATAGAGAGTTAGAAACATCGATGAGAGAGAAACATCAATCAGCCGCCTCCTGCACACCCCCCACTGGGGATCTGCCCGCAACCAAGGTACATGCCCTTGACCGGAATTGAACCTGGGACCCTTCAGTCCGCAGGCCGATGCTCTATCCACTTAGCCAAACCAGTCAGGGCTCATCCGGGACTTTCTTGTCGATGCTTGGCCTGAGCACAGGTGACCCCGAGGACAGGTCAGCCACCAGTGTTTGCTTGCATATCACTTTCCCCTTTAGATCAAATGCTCCTGAATAGCCAGGACTGCGTGGGGCATGTGCACACGGAGTACAGGGTGGATGGAGAAATTAGGGCAGCTCCCTGAGAGAGCAGTTTCAGGAGTGCTGGGAAGGAAACCGCAAGGTGTTATAAAATAGGAAGATGGTTAAGAAATGAAAGAAGTAGCCCTAGCCGGTTTGGCTCAGTGGTTGGAGTGTCAGCCCTTGGACCAAAGGGTCAGGGGTTTGATTCCCAGTCAAGGGCATGTACCTCAGTTGCAGGCTCTGTCCCCCGCCTGGATCAGGGCTCCTGGGGGAAGCAACCAATGGATATGTCTCTCTCACATCCACGTTTCTCTCTCTCTCCCTACTCCCTCCCTTCCACTCTAAATAAAACACACAAAAAAACAATCAATGGAAAAATATCCTCAGGTGAGGATTTAAAAAAAATAAATGAAAGAAGCATCTGATCATGAGAGAGGGCAGTCAGGGAGTTATGGGAAAAGGACAGAGAAAATTATATCAAGAGAGGAAGCAGAAAGAATAAAAGGTTTAATTCTTGTGCAGGAGAGATCTGAGTATGTTGCTAAACTGTGGTGAAAGCCAGTGAAAAGGGAGGATGAAGATGAAGGAAGAGGCAGTGACAGGGTGATAACTGGTAAATGCAGGGCAGGGGGAACCCCTGACAGGGGGCAGGGGTGGGTGATGGAGCAGACAAATGTAGAGGCGAGAGGTGGGCTGTGAGGTGAGAGGACAGGGTGGACTATGAGGAAGGGGCCTGTGGCCTAATGGGGAAATCAACAACCAAACTCGACCTGGATGTTCTAATACTGCCCCTTACCAGTCATGTGACTTATGGCAAGTGACTTAACAATTGTCAAAGCCTCAACTTCCCTTTAGGTAAAATAGGGGTATTACCTTCCAACTCCCAATATGGTCTCACTTTCTTGCAAGTGCTTTCTTGGCTATTTCCTTATCTATCTATCTATCTATCTATCTATCTGGGGATGTTTCCCTTTGAGGGCATAGAACCTGGCAGATGGTCTGGATCTTAGCAAAGGATAAGGCGAAGGATAAGGAGATGAACACACATGAAAATGAATATGTAAAAGGATTTGCACCCATCAGTGAGACCCAGGGGAAATTAGAGGCCAGGATGCCTAATCGGAGGTGAAAATTAGGTGCTAGGGAAGATGTGGCCACAATGTTCCTGCCGAACCGCCCCACAGGTGAACCGCCTCACAGGTGCGGGCAGTGAGAGGCGCTCACCTGAGGCCCACGCCTCCCGGGAGGCTTTGGGAGGGCGTGGTTGCCTGCTTTTAAAGGCCAAGTGGGAGGGCCCTTTCATTGCCACGAGGCTGCGACGGATCCCTGAGACGAGGACGCCCTGAAAGGGGCTGCGAGAACCTGGGGAGCGCCGCCCGCGGGGGTGCCGGGCCGCCAGGCAGCTCCCTGGCTCAGCAGGAGGCGGGTCATCTGTGGTGCAGCGCTGGCCGCCGCCGCCACTTGAGGAACTTGGTTTGCAGCTCGAGCTCCTTGCACAACCTCGGGCCTTTTTTTTTTTTTGTAAATTGCTGATTGTGGAGAGGCCCCGCCCTTCCGCACGCGGGCCCCAGGAGGCCCCCTCCCGAGCTCCCGCCCGGGTGCTGCTTCCCCGGGTCGGGGCTGGAGGGCTGGTGGCGGCGGTCCCTCGGGGCCCATGGCGCTGCCCGCCTGGCTGCAGCCCAGGTAGGGCGCTCGGCGAGGCGGGAGGGGGGAATGGGGTGCGGGAGGGAGGGGGTGCGGGAGGCGGGGTCTCCGGGGCGGGTCTCCCCCGCCGCATCGACGGCTGGACAGGCACCAGCTGAGCAACGCAGCACATCCCTGAGCTGTGGACGGGCAGGAGCCGGCTCAGGACCCCGACAGTCCTGGAAAGCAGGCTCCGTTCTTCCCCCCGCTTTACAGACGAGGAAGCGGGAAGGACAGGCGGCCACCTCCGCATTTGAACTCTTGGCCAGTCCTCCTTTCCTCCCCCCCCCCCACCCCCCCGGTGCCCTTCCCTTGGCGTTCGCAGACGTAGTGCTGGAGGGTGCATTTCACACCCACCTGCTGCCGAAACCTCCGGCACGTGCATCTCCGAGGGCCCGGCCCAGGGAAAAGGACTCGGTGGGAGGCCCGCGGACCAGACTCCGAGTGATCGATCCCTTTGCAGGTTAAGGTGGCGTCCCTCGCCCTCCCCCTCCCCCCGTCAGCAGCTGCAGGGCGTCCCAGCAACACACAAAGCTACTCTGCATCTGCTTTCTAGCCCCCTTGCCTTACTTTTCAGAGGTCCCCCCATCCCCAAGGAGGAGGCAACCTTGTCTCCGCGGACAGGGCCACTCCCACTACCCTTCGGAACCCCCGGGAACACTTCACACAGCGCTTGTCTGGACGCCCTCAGGGGCTAATCTGCCAATCATCGCCGGGTCGTCTCTCCAGCAACGCAGCTTGACTTCCCTTTTCTGGCCCAGCCACCAAACTGCCTTCTATGTGTGTCTGAAGGAAACATCTGCTCTTGCCACATAGGAGCCAGTGGGGAGATACTGACCCTAATCACATAATGCACCCAAGTCAGGCGTGCCCAGTGACCGAATTACCCACCATGTGGGAATGCCGCCATCACTACTCCCCTCTGTAAGTGGAAACCAGTCATCTCTGCACTTACAACTCATATTGGCCAAGCACATCAACCCCTTCTCCGTATTCCCCCACCTCCCAAATATTCAAGGCAGCCATTGCAATGCTTACTGTTATCCCTTGGTGAGCAATAGGTTAGAACTTTATCAAAGATGAGGTGGATTTTGAAATAGAGCCATATTTCGCTTTAAGATACTCATTAGTGGACCTGTGTGCTATGGTCCTTTCGAAATCTGGTGTGCATTAGAGGGGTAACCAAATAAAAGACTGACGGAATAATTTCCTCTCGTTTGCTCAGGTTGGTCAGTAGGTTAGTTCAGTGTCATGTGTATTGTGTTGAAAGGATGATTATAAAGAAAGTGTTTAATGGTATTTTTCTGTATTTATAGGTACAGGAAGAATGTCTATCTTTTCATCTACTACTTAATCCAGTTCTGTGGCCACTCATGGATATTTACAAATATGACAGTCAGATTCTTTTCATTTGGAAAAGGTAAAACTCTAAGACACTTTTTGATTTTTTTTACCTTTTAATCCTTGTTTTTGCCTAGACTTATATTCATTTTTTGGTCTATGGGTTTACCTAAAATCCTCTACTCCTCTAAATTTAGTGACCACAGTTTTCAGAAAACATACTTCTTGCTTAGTACATAAAGCAAAACCGTTTTGGAGAAGAGGGTAAGATGAGGAAAAGGAATTTGGCTTCCCCCTGAGTGGGCAGTTTGCCCTGAAAATCTAGACCTGGCATTGGGGTGATGCCATCTCTCTCTTCCTTTTTGGTTCTGCACCAACCTTAGCAGATTTGGTGGGTTTGGAGAAAATATGTAACTACCAATACCTATAACATTTTGTGTAGAGAAATCAGGAATTAACCAAATTCTTCCCTTAGTCTTTATTCCCCAGGTTTAAGGTAACTCTACTAATAAACGAAAGAGAAGCTTTATATTCCTCAGGTCTTTATTTGGTCCCCTTAAGGATTAGTGTGTCCCTAAGAAAATGACACACTTGTAGGTGACTCATCACTTATATGGGAGTTGGCATTAATGGTTTAAATCATAAGCTTCTTCAGTTTCCTCAAAAGTAAAGATTTAAAAATAGCATTTCAATTTTCAAAAAAAAATGACTATGAAAATAACATTCATGTTCCATCCCCACATGGGTAAGTGTCATCACAGTTTACAACTGTTGGTTGACTTGACAAGTTGAGCAACTGCTCATTTCAGCTAAAAAAACAAACATGTAGACTGTATCTGGGAAAAGTCATGCTGTGCTCATCAATTCCAACTGCTGTATCATCAGGAAATTAACTTTTGAGGTACCATAAACTATTTTATGTTGCTTTTTTTTGTTATTGCAAATCTGCAGAAAAATTCTTGTCTTTCTTGTGGGAGGCAGCACGCACAGGTCTACACCCTATGCCACCTTCTTGGTTCTCCTTCTTGTCTTTCTTAAAAACTTCCAAAGGCTCAAATTTCAACTGAGTGCTGGGGGTCTGCAAGCAGAGGAAAACACAGGCAATGGGAAAACTCCCTGTTATTTTTAGAAACACACACACACACACACACACCCATCACTTCTAGGCCTTGGAAGTTGGCTGTGGCTGTGGCTTTGTGGGCATCTCACAGGCCATTCAGAGCACAAGTCGAAAGCAATGAACTTTTTCTTATGCTGCCTATTTATCATCAGCAGTCTATTTCTTAATTTTTATCCTGCCGTTATAATTATAAAAGCTACTTATTAAAGAAACATAACATATCCATATGGAAGGCAGACTGAAAACAACTGAGTGGGGGTTCAGTATAATTCTTGAATCAACATATAAATCAAGTAAGCAGCTTATAGTAATCTAATCACCCGAGCCAGCACCACCTGCTTCCTTCCTCCTCCGTGGAACCGTGTAATTGACGAGGCCATATCGTGGCAAGTGCAGGCTGGTGGGTACGAGAAGGACTGTCTCGGCCTCAGAACTCGCCTGTGAAATGGGGAGGATATGAACCGTGTCCACCTCATAGAGCTGCTGAGATGAGAAACCCTTTGTGCTCGATGATAATTTATGATCACTAGGCAGTAAAGAGAGCAGCATCTTCCGTAGAAGTTTCTTACTATGGCAGGATTTCATTTTAAAATTTAAACCAACATATTTGTCCTACTTAGAGGAACATTTTCCCCTCCCATTTCAGCCCTCTCCAAAATTGGTTTTTCATGTGGGCCCTCTGCAATGCATACTCCAAAGGTTCCCCCCAGAGGTCCGAGTTCTGGTGCTTAAACTAACAAAGGTTGAAGAGCAGTGGTCGGCAAACTCATTAGTCAACAGAGTCAAATATCAACAGTACGAATGAAATTTCTTTTGAGAGCCAAATTTTTTAAACTTAAACTATATAGGTAGGTACATTGTTATTAACTTAATTAGGGTACTCCTAAGGCTTAGGAAGAGCCACAGTCAAGGGGCCAAAGAGCCGCATGTGGCTCTCGAGCTGCAGTTTGCGGACCACGGGTAGGGGAAGGTTGAAGAGGGTAAAGGGGATCAAATATATGGTGACGGAAGGAGCTTAGACTTCAGTGGTGGCCACACTACAGGGTTGCCGGTATCATACTAGAAAGATGTACACCTGAACCTGATGTTCTTAACCAATGTCACCAAAATAAATGTAATAAAATAAAACCTAACAAAAATCCAGAGAACTTGCCCTAACTGGTTTGGCTCAGTGGATAAAGCGTCAGCCTGCGGACTTAAGGGTCCCGGGTTCGATTCCAGACAAGGGCATGTACCTTGGTTGCGGGCACATCCCCAGTAGGGAGTGTGCAGGAGGCAGCTGATCGATGTTTCTCTCTCATCGATGTTTCTAACTCTCTATCCCTTTCCCTTACTCTCTCTGTAAGAAATCAAAAAAATATATTTTTTTAAAAATCCAGAGAACATTAAGTATGAATAGGACATACATACTGGATATACATAGATGTTACCTGCTATCATGTCCTCATTAATGTCATTTCTACAAAGCTCCTCTGAAATCATATTTTTCCCATTTCTCATTTTCTTGTCAATGGAAAAGCTGTGAGCACAGCTGCTGCTTTAATAAGCTCACCTCCAACCAGTTTACATTTGATGTAGTCTCCTGTAGCTGGTTACTTTTATATATATGGGAGTTGCTTTCTAATCTCATACATGGGAAATAAATGCTATAGCTTTGGCCATGGAGCCAAACTTTTTCAAGTTTTACTTCTTTTTGGAAGAGAAGCCATTAAAATATAATATGAAGCACTTTCTTCAATTGCATAGTCTTAATAATGTAATAGTCTATTTGTAAAGAATCTCAATTTTATTTAAAAGTGCTGCAGAGATGTGTTGTGCTCTAATTTTGACCATATCTGTATTTTTAACTTCCCGGACACAGATTCGATGGTTGACACTTTCTATGCTATTGGACTTGTGATGCAGCTTTGCCAATCCATCTCCCTCTTGGAGTTGCTGCACATCTATGTTGGCATTGAATCAAACCATCTTCTCCCTCGGTTTCTGCAGGTAGGTTTTAATCACATTTTTATTGAATCAGTTTCATACTTACCTTGTTCTATTTATGGCCTCTCTTGACTTTATGGCAGTTAAAAAGCACACCCTTGCAAACTTGAAACCCAAATCACTAATAAGGAGAATTCCATGAAAAAATTACCTCATCCTCAAACACCGCACCTTTAGAAGAACCAGTTGGGAACATTTGGGGCAATGAGGCTGTTGCTCTCTGCGACACTGCAGTCTCCTCTCCTGGGGGGAGATTTCACTTCACTTCCCGTTCTGCCTCTGCCAGGGCCCTGGGCAGGGTGGGACTGAGGAGAGGCATTGGGTTGGAGAGACATTCAGACTTGGGTTTGATGCCTGGCTCCTCTACCTGCCATTAGAAGATCATATCACCCACAACCACTGGGCTGTTTGGGGGAAAGGACACCACTCACAATACCTGGCAAAGAATAGATGATCAAAAAAGAAATCTATTCTACACTTTTTGAGAAACCTCTGTACTATTTGCCATAAAGGCTGCACCAATTACATTCCCATCAGCAGTGTCTGAGGGTTCCTCTTTCCACATTCTTGCTGACACTTTTATTTGTCTTTTTTATAACAGCCATTCTAATGGGTGTGAGGTGGTATCCCATTGTGGTTTTGATGTGAATTTCCCTTATAACTAGTGATGTTAAACATCTTTTCACATGTCTGTGGGCCATCTGTATGTATTCCTTGCAAAAGGTCTATTCAGGCTCTCTTCCCAATTAAAAAAAATTGTTAAAAGTATTACAGATGTCCCCGTTTCCCCACCCATTGACTCCCTCCATCCTACTCCCATCCCCACAGGCCTTCACCACACTATTGCCTGTGTCCATGGGTTATGCATGTCTACATGTAAGTTCTTTGGTTAATCTGTTCCTGACCTACCCTCCCCCCATTCCTCTGAGATTCATCAGTCCATTCCATGCTTCCATGTCTCTGGATCTATTTTGTCAGTTTATTTTGTCCATTAGATTCCACATATAAGTGAGGTCATGTGATAAGTGTCTTTCTCTGAGTGGCTTATTTTGCTTAGCATAATACTCTCCAGGCCCCTCCATGCTATCTCAAAGGGTGAGATCCTTCTTTTTCACAGCTGCACTGATGGGCATTTACTGATGGGCACTTGGGCTGTTTACAGATCTTAGCTATTGGAGAAAAGGGAACCCTGGTGCACTGATGGTGACTATGGAAAACAGTATGGAGTTTCCTCAAAAAAGTAAAAATGGAACTGCCATTTGACCCAGTGATCCAACTTCTAGGAATATATCCTAAGAATCCCAAAACATCAATCAGAAATAATATATGCATCCCTATGTTCTCTTCCCAATTTTTAATCATATTGTTTTGTTGTTGTTGAGTTGTGTGAGCTCTTTATATATTTTGGATATTAGTCTCAGATGTTGAATTATAATCTTATACACCTGAAAATTATATATTATTAACCAATGTTACCCAACAAGTTTATTTTTTTTAAAAGTTCCTTTCATCCCTGTTCAGAGAAGAGAATATTTCCTAGTCATTTCTTATTTACTCTGCCACTTGTCCTGAATATAAATGGAGAGATCATTTATGGTTAACTAGCATAGTGTCTAAAAATAGATTTGGGGGATCTATCAGGCCTGGATTCAAATCCTAGTTCTACCTCTTAGTAGTTGTATGCATTTGAACAAGTCATATAGTTGTTCCAAATCTAATTTTCTCATGTGATGTGAAAATAATATGTATCTCATGAAGTAACTGAGAAAATGGGAAGGGATAAGTTCGCAGTACTTAGTTAAGATTACAATACTGACAGATATTGCTGTTATTTTAGCTTAGCTATTATGTGTTCTCTCTACCATGTCTCTAGCCCTAGTTGACCATGTTCGTTTTAAACGCAGGTTGAAGGAAGATGGGAAATTCAATGGTAGCAATTCAATAGCAGAATCATTGCTGGATTAAGGCAAAACAAAGAAAAACAGTGGTATTTTCCATTAAAAAAGGAGGGTTAGGTGACTATATGAATATATTTAGAATCTTCAGGAAAAGGCATTTACATGAGTATACTTTTAACGATGCACAAAATAAATTAGAAAAATGGATAAGCAGGTAAATTTGACAAATTGCATTGTAAAAGTAAAATGTCAGAATCTGATTATAGTGCCAGCACCTGGCAAAGTGCTCAGAACATGAACATACACCTTACATTTTTGTTGAATGAAGGAGTGGCGTAGATTAAATTTTGCTTTTATTAAAATTTATATTAAAATTTTCTTAAAATACCATGAAAATTGTAAAAGATGGAAATAGGAGTATATTATACCAAGGAGTCTAATAAGAACGATGTCGTATAAGTTTATGGGAGATTTTAAATTTTACTTATTAAATAAAAGTAGAGAAATAATATTCGTTAAGATGAGGACATTATAGGTATTGAAATATCAAATGTAAAATAAAAATCAGGGCACTCTATAGAGTATGAACTAATAACAGAGTAGTAGTGAGCTAACAGTCAGCTAGCCAAGACCTTGGTGGAATTCCCTTAAACATATTTCCTTATAAAAGAGGGGGAGGGGATACACATCTGTCCCAGAAGAAGCATATTATTGGGGAACAAGATTTATTGATGTTTATTATTTGTTAACGGCCAGAATGCATATAATCCCAGCATCCCGTGATGCTAATTTTAGAGAACAGAATTAACCACCCAGGTTAAATGAAAGTTGTGTTCTATGATATGATTTTTTTCATTTTTTGGAGCGTGGTCAAATTCACCTAAAATCTAAGCTATATTTTCTTTTGGTATATATTATTGGATTTTTTACTTTTGTAAGCTAAAATGGCTAATATTAATTTCAGCATTTTCAAAATTAAGAGTGGTGTTATTTTAGTTATTGCCAATGTAGGGAATGCAAGTGAGAAACAGGACAGTTAAAGTTGTAAGAAAGAAAATAGTGTGCTTTGAATATGCCTTGAAAATGGTGCACATTTTTCATGCTTTCCAAAATTATATAGGCTTGCCTAACAATATAAACTATTCTACAAGTTAGAAATATGATTTCTTAGAGTTCCAGAAATCCCAGAATATTAAAATATGACTTTAATCACTATTAATTGAAACTGTAATGGCTTGTAGAAATATCACTATAATCAAACTACATCCTGGTTTGGGAATTAAAAATAATGGCAAATATAGATTGAAACTTTTTATTCAAAGGTGAGGTTGCAGAGTCCACTATTAATGGGGCTCACATGATTTTTAAGTCTATTTTGTTGGTAGGGATAACAAGTGAGGGGTTACTACATTGAGGTTACTACATTCTCAGCCTGGGCTGATTATTATTAATTTTTGTTGTGATTATTTGGTTTCCTGTTTTTACCTTTTTGGAGATTTCATCTGTCCTCTATTTCTTTTATTCATTTACTATCTTTTCTATGGTGTTCAGAATAGACATGGAATTGGAGAAAGCTTCAAAAACACATATCATCATGTTCAAAGTTTCATTTTCTTCCCCTTCCTTTATTAGCATTCTGCAGACAATTAAAATTCCTTCATGTGAGATGCAGTGAGATGACTCTGAGGTCCCTGCTTTAAAATTACCAAACAAAACTCTAAGGTTGTGAAATTTTTCTTCACTTCCCTGTTTCCCCACTTTGAAGTGAAGAAAATGTAGTTAAGAATTACTGACACAGTAATTATAGCTGATTGCATATGGTGTCTTGAAAAATGCAAGGTGTCCGGTTTGGCTCAGTGGATAGAGCGTCGGCCTGTGGACTCAAGGGTCCCAGGTTCGATTCCGGTCAAGGGCATGTACCTTGGTTGCGGGCACATCCCCAGTGGGGAGTGTGCAGGAGGCAGCTGATCGATGTTTCTGACTCTCTATCCCTCTCCCTTCCTCTCTGTAAAAATCAATAAAATATATTAAAAAAAATGCAAGGTGTCCATAATTTCAAGTAGGCTGAAAACCATGTCCGCACATTTGTGATGTTATTTTGCTGTTACCTCTGTGAGGCTGCTAAGTCACTACTGAATTCTCTTTTTGGGAACTGGTCTTCCAAAATATCAAGATAAGTCATTCCAGTAAAACAGTAGGCATGATAAGCTAATCGAGCAGTTAAAATCACTTAGATTAAGTGGTGGTGGTGCGCATAGGGGATTTTTTTTTTTTTGTATTCTGTGCATTTTAAAATATTTTATAGACAATCTTTATTTTGACAGAGAATATACACAATTGCTAAAGGAAAAAGAAAAAACCACTTATAATAAGACTATAGTAATTTAACACAGATGTGTATTTTTATGTATGTATTTTTTTTTATTTTATTGTTGACAGCATTACCGATGTCTCCATTCCCCCCCAACCCTTACTCCCCTCCGCCCAGCCCAGACCCACCGCCCCAGGTCTTTACCACGCTTCTTGTCATATCCACGGGCCATGCATATAACATATTTTTATGTATTTAAAACAACACATTTTAGAGGAAAAGGGCAAAACTATAACATAAATAGTTGTTTATAGACATGTTTTTGGAAATAATTGCATGCCAGTTAAAGTTATATAAGGAAATAGAGTTAACTTGATATTTTAAATTTATAAAATGGGAAAGTAAAAGGGTCCCCAAAATGCATATATCTCTTATAGGAAATGATAATACAAGTGAAAACTAAGCATCTCACATTTCCAACCCCTTCCTCCCCAAAGAGCTTGCATATGTTATTAGCTTGGTAAAAAAAAAAAAGAGTTGAATTGATAAGTTAATTTCAGTAGGTTTAATAAAAGCAAGTTGGCTTTTACAGAGCAGAAATACTACCAACCCTGAAATATTGATTTTGAATGGCTTTGTTCTGACTTAGCTTGAGTGGAAGCCTGAGAAAGAGGTTTTTACTGCTAGACTTGAGGATGCTTCAACTCAAGGAGGGAAAATATCCACAAAACGAACCTTTGTGTCATTAGATTGGCATGTCTTCAGGAAGCCCTCAAAGTGATCCAGTTTATTCCTTTATCTTTTGAAAAATGCTCGAAATGCAAGGACTTCAAACATAACTGCATTAAGATGGCCAAATTCTGCATCCTTCCCTTTGCATCACAATAACACTGCTGCACATGTATTAATTTTACACAATTTTTAAAAATCTAGAAATAAAACAATAGAAATTATTACCCCAATATTACTGTGCCTCCAAAAATTCCATGTGGGAGCCCAAATGGCAAGAATCATCTTTAAATTTACCAACATCACTCTCGATTTCTGAAAGGCAAGCAAAACCACTCCAAAGATTTCACAGTCACAGAGGACAAATATAAGGGAAATCCCCAAAGACAGTGTTTTAAAATAAACCCTTTTAGGAAAACAGCCAAGTTGCACCCTAATTTCTTTTTAGCTATGAAGCAGGTACTTCGTTGCAGTGCCAGATTAAATACGCGTATTTTCCGTAAAATCATATAGATTTTCTGTCTAGTTTTGAGTTGGAAATAGGTTTGTATCATTAGAGATAAAACTAAAGATAGTGTCGAGCTATGAGATTCTCCTGGGAATGAATTACACATGCAAGGCACCCAGTAAGCAAGATTTTAGATGTCTCCTCTGTATTTTGCATTTGATTCATGGAGTTCTTCAGTGTGATAATTATAAAGTTATATTCACAGTATAATTTTAAAGATACTGAGATTAACATTTTATTCACTGATTGTCTTGATTATCTGTACAGAAAAAGTGTATTTTCCTATAAAATACTAATCACTGCATTAAATTAGGTTTTCTTAATAATAGCGTACATGTATAGGGCTTTGTATGTGCCACCAAATACTTTTCTAAGTTCTTCACATGTATTAACTCATTCAATATTCACAACTTTATCCTATATAGCTGCTATATAATACTGATTATTATCTCCAATATAATCACTGAACACAAAAGTTAAATAAAAGTACCCAAGATGACATAAATTGTGATTGGTGCAGGAAAAATCTGGATTTAGGCTATTTGTTCTGAACGCTTAACCATTATGCTACCTTTGTTTGCTGTCTCTTTCACTAAGTGGGATGTAAATACCATGAGGGCTGGGACTTGGTCTTGTTCATAGCTACCCTCCCCCAGGACCCAGAACAATACACTTAATAAATATCTATTGACTGATGAGTGAGTAAACAAAATATGAAAACTAGAATTACTTAAATGCTTTTTTCTTATAGGAGAAAGCAATTGGTGGTTTTTAAACAGATAAGGGTGTATATATGAAGTGCTCAACAAAAGTTCATAGGATGGAAAAAGTAAAATAGTCCTTGAGGCTAAAGCCAACTTATTTTTTAAGATTCTAGAAATTCTCCCTATAGTTGAAGTATCATTTTACCCCCTTCAACAGTTTATAGCTGAAGTTCTAGCTGCCATGTATAAAGTAATAGCGTAGGTTCAGTCATTGCTTAACCTGGAGTTTAAGATTCCCAAATAGAATATAAAAATGCAAAATATTTTTATTTTATAGTTACCATACTTTTGAGCAGAGTACATTACCACCATGCTTATTTGGGGCTAAGTTATAGAATTTTTTTATTATACCTGTTTGAGTTGCACTAAACATTATGAGACCATTCATTAGTAATCAGTGGTGTTCTCACAGGATTTGTTTTAAAATGACAAAGTGCTAAGTTCTCCCAAATGTAAAGCTCCAAATAACTGGTGAAATGATTGTATGCAAAGGACAGTAAAATATTTAAAGTCTGTTCCTCAAAATGGTTTTAGTGTTGATTTAGAAAATCAAAGTTCTTGTTTTCAGGTTTAACATTTGGGGAGAGGCTTTTTAAAAGAATAGACTATAACCTGGAGAATAGGCGCAGGGGTAGCCCATAAAATAACAAAGATGACATGTCTTAGTGTTTCAGAACTCGGGATTTAGAATCACATTGTCTAGATTATTTTTTTATTTTTTAAAAATATATTTTATTGATTTTACAGAGAGGAAGGGAGAGGGATAGAGAGTTAGAACCATCGATGGGAGAGAAACATCCATCAGCTGCCTCCTGCACACCTCCCACTGGGGATGTGCCCGCAACCAAGGTACATGCCTTTGACCGGAATCGAACCTGGGACCTTTCAGTCTGCAGGCCAATGCTCTATCCACTGAGCCAAACCAGTTAGGGCACATTGTCTAGATTTTGATTCCAGATCTTTAGGTAGGTCACTTTCATGTTATAAAATATAGAGGCAGATAATAATAATAGCACTTCTTAGGGTTGTTAGGGAGATTAAATGAGGTGATGTATAATTGGAACCTAGCATAAAGTAACCAATAAATGCTGACTTATCAATTTAAGAATATCTCCACTAAATTCTTCCATTGTATTGCCATTGAATGGTCATGTTAGAATAACCATCAGATACTTTGTTAATTAGACTGACATTGTAGGGGGGATCTTCACATATCTACATGTATGCACATGGTTTGCGTGCTTTTGGGGGCATGTTGATTGCTGATTTCTATGCAGTTGGGATTCTCTCACTTAACATGTCACAAACCCTCAAGTGATGATTTTGAACAGGGCAAATATCATTGTGCAGCTCCAGTCTCTCTTTTTGAAGATATTTTCTTCAGTAGTCAACCATGTAATTAGAAATATGTGTTTTTTGCCCTGGCCAGTGTCTCTAAGTGGTTAGAGCACTGGTTCCTGAACCAAAGAGTTGGGGATTAGATTCCTGGTCAAGGGCAGGTAACTGGGTTGTGGGTTCACTCCCCACTCCTGGTGGGGTGAGTGCAGGAGGCAACCAGTGGATATCTCTCTCTCATATCAATGTTTCTCTTTCTCTCCTCCTCTCCTCCTCCTCCCTCCCTTCCTCTCTCCCAGTCTCTCTGAAAAGCAATGGGAAAAATATCCTCAGGTGAGGATTAATAACAACAACAAAAAGAAATACGTGTTTTGTGTATTCATTCATGTTTGTGCATCTCGAGATTTTTATCAAAAAGTGGATGATTTTCCTAATTAGCAGGCACCAACTGAATGTAAGCTTAGGTAGTTCCTAAATTGTTTGCTGCTAAAGATCTTGTATCTGAAGGCTGCCAAGCTTGGGTCATTCAGTAATTATCATTGCAGTTAAATATAATTCATAGAACTGGAATTAAAATAAATCAAGAAACAAGAGGCTGACAGATGAACAGCTGTGTAGATCGCTCTAGTTGTTTGACTAAGGTTTGAATCATATCTAAATCCCATAGCTCAGCAAGGACCCTCTTGACTCACGGCTGTAGTCATAAACATTCTGATAGAGCTTCTACAAGTGGACTTCTGATCATGTGACCACTGTTGGCAAATCTTGGGTTTCTCTGCACTAAGTGACTTTCCAGGACTAACAGCCTATGATTCTAAGTCATAGCTTATCCCAGTCTTTTCTCCCTGAGTTGCTTTAACAATAGAGACAGCTACTGAAACCTATCAAGCAACCCTGCCCTTTCTTTTATCACTAATGTGCTCCCTCAGTTTCCAGTATATTTTCTTTTGACCATTGAAAGAAAAGTAAAATGTCCTATTAAAAACATAAAAATGCAGACTGTATAGGGGATATGACTACAACATAAAAAGGCACATCACACCTAGATTGGGGAAAAGGCGTGTATTTTTTGAGGCCAGTAATTAGAGCTAAGCCGTAAGTTGCAAATTCTCAATGATTTGTAAATGCTTACTGTCTTGAAGTAAACGAATATGTTGAATTCTTTTAATTTGCCACTAGCTTATGAGAGTGAGGATTGTACTACTTCCCCTTCTCCTCCTCCCCGCTAAAAAAATAGAGTTATGATGGCTCCCTTGTTGGATGAAATGGAAATTTCTCGGTCTGTCGTTCAAAACCCTTGACAACCCAACCCCCAACACAATTCAGTTTTATCTCCTGTTATTCCCTTCTGGGCACCCACTCCAGCCCCCAGGGGTCTCATTGCTCCCCAGGGCACCCTGAGTTTTCACATCTCTGCCTCTTTGAGGCTGCTCCCCTTGGCCTGGGATGGCCCTTTTCCGAGCTAGTCTACCTCAAAACTCCCATCTGTTCTTCAAGATCCAACTGAAATGTTGCCTTTCTTTATAAATCTGCATCCTTTCCCCAGACCGGCATCCTCACCTGTGCACCTGGACAGACCTCTTTGATTGATGGCGTTTGCTCACTCACACTGTGTTACAGTTGCTGCCTCACATTTTTTTTTAAATATATATTTTATTAATTTCTTACAGAGAGGAAGGGAGAGAGATAGAGAGTCAGAAACATCGATGAGAGAGAAACATCGACCAGCTGCCTCCTGCACACCTCCTACTGGGGATGTGCCCACAACCAAGGTACATGCCCTTGACCGGAATCAAACCCGGGACCTTTCAGTCCACAGGCCGACGCTCTATCCACTGAGCCAAACCAGTCAGGTCTGCTTCACATTCTCTTGATGCTGCTACCCTCTGGATCGAGGGCCGTGCTTTCATAATCTTAGCATCTAATACATAGCAGACACGCAATACAAGCCTGTCAAAGTGAATAAAAACATGTGTGCATGTATTACAGGAAGGGAAATATCCTGATTCAAATAAAATATGTTATCTTTTCATTTATTATATATGATTTGGAGAATACAGGGGGGAAAAAAGGAAATGAAATTCACCCGTAACCTACTCCTTCACAGGTCAAGTTAACAGCTTAGGATACATATTTCTAGTTAAAGCATACTTTTAAGAGGAACTCTGGTTTTTTTAATTAGAAAATTATATGCTTAATAGATGATCCTAATTCTTGACTCTGATGGTTTGTTGTTGTTCTTAGCTCACGGAGAGAATCATCATCCTGTTTGTGGTGATCACCAGTCAAGAGGAAGTCCAAGGGAAATACGTGGTGTGTGTGTTATTCATCTTCTGGAATCTACTGGACATGGTTAGGTAAGGAGGCAAAATAATCTCTTAAAGGAAGCCAGATTGCTTTCTTCAGTGAAACTATTAATAGCTGCTTAGGTTTGATTACTTGGAGTGAGAGAGAAAACAATTATTTTATCTTGATATTGAAATGTATTTTTATTGCCGTCCATAATGGGCATACCAAAGACATGAAAACCTACCGTGGTGTTACAAGAGCACATCAGTGCAGGTATCTAGCAGGAGAAGTGGCATAACACCAATTTGGAATAAACCTCACAGCTGTTTGCGAATGAAAGGCATTCCTTGCAGTTGCTCTGGTCCATGTTACTCTAATAAGCAAAGCAAGACTTTTATCATATCATAGTCAGAACTTAGAGTTGATTTCTGCGAATTCAAGAATGTTTTCAATATAGGCCCTCATCTCCCTGAGAAACACTGTACCTCCACATACATTTTTGTATGCAATTCCAGTGGGTTCACATGACTGAAGTTCTTTCGTGGACTCCTTGCGAACCCTTAGGCCTCAGGGTAAGAGCCCTTGCTTATAGATCATCTTGTTTCCTTCTAATTCTAAAACTTCGCAAGGAGATGAGCCTAGCTTATCTCTAGCAGCAGTGGGGTAAACCGTCTGCTCACGGGCTTCCTTTGAGGAGTTGTCCTAACCGCTACCTCAGCTTTCACAAATGAGAATTGCCCCTCCCGCTTGAAAGATCTGGACGTGGGCAGGTAACAAATTAGCTGAGGTCATGTAAATTCTTTATTACATTGTCAGTAACTTAGCTGAGTTAAAATACTTTTAAATAATGGGTTGAGCCCCAAAGTGAATGAGAATATTTTGTTGAATTAAAAATGACTGGAATTTTTGGTTTATAGAACTTAGCAAATCATTTCTTATTTTTAACTGATAAAGTTTTTTAGACTTGGGACAAAGTTCATGGACTTTCGTAGCCCATGACTTTCTTTTCATGAGACACAGAGCCTCATCTGGGCTTTCCAATGTATCATTCCCTGGTATGCCTGACTCTTTGTGAGCTGATTCAGGCTCAGATAAGCTCAGTAGACCATCACAGAAAGCAGTGACTTGTGCATTGGGAATGGCCTCATGCTGTCATGGAAAGACTTTGGACATAAAAGGAGAAGCTCTCAGGATGACCCCACTTCCACTATAACTTCCTCTATGATTTTAGGCAAGTCACTTAACCTTTTCTTTTTTAAAAATAACAGCATTGAGATAATTTACAGACCTTAAAATTCACCCTTTTAAAGTATAAAATTTGGTTTTTAATGTATTCAGAAACATATGCAACCATTGCCACTATCTAATTTGAGAACTTTTTCATCACCCCCCAAAAGAAACCCCAAACCCATTAGCAGTCACTCCCCATCCCCTCCTTCTCCCAGCTCCTAGCGTACTGTCTCTACAGATTTGCCTATTCTGGACATTTCAGATAAATAGTCATATAATATGTGGCCTTTTTGTGAAGGGCTCCTTTTACTTAGCATAATATCTTCAAGGTTCAACCATGTTGTAACATCTATCAGTACTTTATTCCTTTTTATGGCTGAATAATATTCCCTCGTATTGATATATCGCACTTTATCCATTTGGATTGTTACTGCATGAATGTTCATGTGCAAGATTTGTGTGCACATATTTTCATTTCTCTTAACATTGGAGTAAAATTCCAGAGTATCTAACCTTTTTGAAATTATTTTTTTTCCTCTATAAAATGGGGTATAATTATCTTCCCAACTTATCCTAGAATGACTTTTTAAAAAGCAAGACCAGGGAAACTTCTCAACCTCACAGCTAACATGATGGTTAATGATGAAAGACTGATGCTTTCATCCCAAGATCAGGAACAAACAAACATATCTACTCTAGCCACTTCTATTCACCATTGTTCTAACCATGACGATTAGGCAAGAAAATGATGTAAAAGGCATCCATATTGGAAAGGAAGGAGGAAAACTGTTTTTATTAGCAGATGACATCTTTCTTACATATATATAAATTATAAGGAATCCACTAAAAATATTAAAACTAATAAACTAGTTTGGCAAGTTTGTAGAATACAAAATCAATATACAAAAATCAATTATATTCTATACACTTGCAATGACCTAGAGTAACATTAAGAAAATAATTTCATTTACAATAACATCAAAAAAATAAAGTAGGAGTAAATTTACCAAAAGACGTACAGAATATTTACACCAAAAACTATAAAACGGTGTTGAGAGAAGTTAAGATAAAAATAAATGGAAAGATATCCCATGTTTGTGTTTTGAAGACTTAATATTGTTAGACAGCAACACTCTCCCAGTAGATCTACAGATTTAGTGCATCCGAATCCCAGTTGGCTTCTTTTCAGAAATTGAGAAGCTGATCCTAAAGATCATATGGAAACTCAAAATCCAGCATAGTCAAAACAATCTTGAAAAAGAAAAAAACATAGTTGGAGGACTCACACTTCCCAATTTTAAAACTTACTACAAAGCAACAATAATTAAGAGTGTGATACTGGCATAAGGATATATCATGAAATGGAATGGATAGTCCAAGGATAGCCGTCAAAGATATGGTCAGTTGATTTTTGACAAGGGTGCCAAGACCATTCAATAGTCTTTTCAACAAGATGTTGGGACAACTGGATATCCACATGCAAAGGAATGAAGTCAGACCCTTACCTCATACCATATATAAAAAATTAACTCAAAATAGTTAAAAAAAACTAAATGTATGAGCTAAAACTATAAGGCCTTCGAAAATATAGGGGTAAATCTTTGTGATCTTGGATTTGGTAATGGATTCTTAGATATGACACCAAAAACACAAGCAACAAAAGAAAAAAAGCTACTGGACCTCATCAAAGTAGCTGCTAAACATACCTACTCTTGTAATTTAAAAAAAGGTAGTTAGATACAATTTTCACTTAGATTGGCACAGATAAGAAAGCTTGATAATATGCCATGTTTAGTGAGGACTTGCAGTATTGGTATATGGTATATATAATACATATACACAAAGAGAAGCAAATGCAAAACATATTTCTGAAAGACTACATAAGAAACTGGCATTGGTCATTGCCTTTGAGGAGTGGAATAGGGTCCTGGAATGAGGGAAAGATTTACTTTTCACCATGCTTTTCAAGGTTTTGGATTTTGTTTGGGCATATGTATTCACTACCTATTCCAGTAGTTCTCAACCAGTGGCCTCAGCCACTGGAATTTGTTCGTAACAAATTCTCAGGCTCTACCTTGCACCCGCTGCATCTGACACTTTGGGAACGGGGCCTTAGAAAGCCCACTGGGTGATTCTGATGTTTGCTTAAACTTGAGCAAAACTGGCCTATTCAGAGAACAGGGAAATACAAAGATCTAGACCACTTTACCTGTTACATCATAAAAGCAGGTTTTAAACTACCTACACTAACCCAAACAAACTCCTCAGGACAGTTCTTTAAGATGGCACAATTACATAAGCACAGGGATGCCAATAGAACTTGGAAGTCATATTTTTATTTGTAAAAGTCATTCCCTAGTATATACAAGTTTTGTTTGTGGAGAAAAGCAAGCAAACAAACAACCTAGCTGCCTGTTGCATACAGTGGGCTTGGCTTCTGAGTGAAAGTGAAGTCACTAATCAGACTTGATTGTTTGCGATCCACCTCATGACATAAGCCAGACTGACATGGTTCCCCTTCCCCCATTTTTAAAACCTCTTCTGCTTAAGTAACAGGAAATAAAGTATGGACTCTATACTCATTCCAGTTTTATCTGTGTATTTAATGACATAATAAAGTATTTCATTCTTTTATTTCCCAGACATCAGCAAATGATGCTTATAAGTTCCTTGTCTCCTTTCAGGTACACGAATAGCATGTTATCAGTCATAGGAATTTCCTATGCTTTCCTGACATGGCTCAGTCAGACACTATGGATGCCGATTTATCCTTTGTGTGTTCTTGCTGAAGGTAAGAAAAGCGTGACTTGCTCTATTGCTCACTGACAAAAGCCATCTAGTTATAAGGGTTCACTAAATGTTTTGATGATTAAATTACTATTTTCGGCACTGCTTAGCTGACTCAATGTTTCTTTCCTAGCATACTTCCCTTGAAAAGGGAAAGCATGAAGAAGCAAAGTTACAGGGGGAAGTAGCTCTGCACAGTAGACAAAATACTGGATAAGGAATAAAAACTTGAATCTACGCCCTTAACTTCATTAACTCACTGTATGAGTTTTGTATAAATCACTTAACCTAAGTCTGGTTTACTCATCCAAAAGGGGTTTCAAACTTAGTGACCCAGCGATGACTTTTCCCCCAATTAAAAAAATATTTTAAATTATAGTTGACATACAATATTAGTTTCAGGTATACAACGCAGTGGTTCAACATTTATATACCTTACAAAGTGGTCACCACAATACCATTTGTCACCATACATAGTTCTTACAATATTATTGACCCTATTCCCTGTGCTGCACATTACATCCTGTGACTTATTTTTAACTGCAAATTTGTATTTCTTTTTTTTTATTGTTTAAAGTTTTACATAAGTCTCCTTTTCCCCCAACTGATCCTCCCCCCGCAACCATTCCCACCCCGGGCAAGCCCCCACCGCCCCAGTGTCTGTGTCCATTGGTTATGCTAATATGCATGCATACAAGTCCTTTGGTTGCTCTCTCGCCTCTCCTCTCCTGCCATTTGTCTCTGGATCTATTTTTGTTCATCAGTTTATGTTGTTCATTATATCCCACATATGAGTGAGATCATGTGATATTTATCTTTCTCTGACTGGCTTATTTCGCTTAGCAGGATGCTCTTCCAGTTCCATCCATGCTGTTGCAAATGGCAAGAGTTCCTTCTTTTTTATAGTGGCGTAGTATTCCATTATGTAGATGTACCAAAGTTTTTAATCCACTCATCTGGTGATGGGCACTTAGGCTGTTTCCAAATCTTAGCTATGGTAAATTGTGCTGCTATGAGCATAGGGGTGCATACATCCTTTCTGATTGGTGTTTCTGGTTTCTTGGGATATATTCCTAAAAGCGGGATTACTGGGTCAAATGGGAGTTCTATTTTTAACTTTTTGAGGAAACTCCATACTGTCTTTCACAGTGGCTGTACCAGTCTGCATTTCCACCAGCAGTGCACGAGTGTTCCTTTTTCTTCACATCCTGGCCAGCACTTGTCATTTGTGGATGATAGCCATTCTGACAGGTGTGAGATGGTATCTCATTGTTGTTTTGATTTGCATCTCTCGGATGATTAGTGACTTTGAGCATGTTTTCTTTTTTTTAATTTTATTTTTCTTTAATTTCTTTATTGGTTAAGGTATTACAAATGTGTCCTCATCCCCCCATTAACCCCCAACCTCCTCTCCACTCATGCTCTCATCCCCCTGTTGTCTGTGTCCATTGGTTTGGCTTATATGCATGCATACAAGTCCTTTGGTTGATCTCTTCCCCTTACCCCCACCCTCCCCTACTTTCCCTCCGGGAATTGACAGTCTGATCACTGTTTCTCCATCTCTGGATCTGTCCCTGTTCATCAGTCTATGTTGTTCTCTATATTCCACAAATGATTGAGATCATGTGGTATTTATCTTTCTCTGACTGGCTTATTTCACTTAGCATAATGCTCTCCAGTTCCATCCATGCTGTTGCAAATGGCAAGAGTTCCTTCTTTTTTACCGCAGCATAGTATTCCATCGTGTAGATGTACCATAGTTTTCTAATCCATTCATCTGCTGATGGGCACTTAGGCTGTTTCCAAATCTTAGCTATGGTGAATTGTGCTGCTATGAACATAGGGGTGCATATATCCTTTCTGATTGGTGTTTCTGGCTTCTTGGGATATATTCCTAGAAGTGGGATCACTGGGTCAAATGGGAGTTCCATTTTTAGTTTTTTGAGGAAACTCCATACTGTTCTCCACAGTGGCTGCACCAGTCTGCATTCCCACCAGCAGTGCAGAAGGGTTCCTTTTTCTCCACATCCTCTCCAACACTTGTTGTTTGTTGATTTGTTGATGATAGCCATTCTGACAGGTGTGAGATGATACCGCATTGTTGTTTTGATTTGCATCTCTCGGATGATTAGTGACTTTGAGCATGTTTTCATATGTCTTTCGGCCTTCTGTAGGTCCTCTTTTGAAAGGTGTCTATTTAGGTCCTTGGCCCATTTTTTGATTGGATTGTTTATCTTCCTTTTGTTAAGTTGTATGAGTTCCCTGTAAATGTTGGAGATTAAACCCTTATCGGTGATATCATTGGCAAATATGTTCTCCCATGCAGTGGGCTTTCTTGTTGTTTGTTGATGGTTTTCTTTGCTGTGCAAAAGCTTTTTATTTTGATGTAGTCCCATTTGTTTATTTTCTCTCTAGTTTCCATTGCCCTAGGAGCTGTATTATAGAAGAAATTCCTTCAGCATATGTTTGCGATTTCACTGCCTGTGGATTCCTCTAGTATTTTTATGGTTTCCCATCTTACGTTTAAGTCTTTTATCCATTTTGAATTTATTTTTGTGTATGGTGTGATTTGGTGGTCTAGTTTCATCTTTTTGCAAGTATCTGTCCAATTTTCCCAACACCATTTATTGAAGAGACTGTCTTGACTCCATTGTATGCTCTTGCCTCCTTTGTCGAATATTAATTGGGCATAGTGGTTTGGGTCAATTTCTGGGTTCTCTATTCTATTCCATTGATCTATATGTCTGCTCTTGTGCCAGTACCAAGCTGTTTTAAGAACAGTGGCTTTGTAATACAGCTTGATATCTGGTATTGAGATCCCACCTACTTTGTTGTTCTTTCTCAGGATTGCTGCAGCTGGCCTATAATTCTCTTTCATCATGTTGTCTCTATCTGGTTTTGGTATTAGGGTGATGCTGGCTTCATAGAATGAGCTGGGAAGTGTTCCTTCCTCTTGATTTTTTTTATTCCAGATGAATTTTTGGAACGTTCGTTCTAGATCTGTGAAATATGCCGTTGGTATTTTAATGGGGATTGCATTGAATCTATAGATTGCTTTGGGTAGTATGGACATTTTGATGATGTTGATTCTACCAATCCATGAACACGGTATGTTCTTCCATCTGTTTATGTCTTCCTCTATCTCTTTTTTCAGTGTCCTATAGTTTTTCGCATATAAGTCTTTTACCTCCTTAGTTAAGTTTATTCCTAGGTATCTTAATTTTTTTGGTGCGATGGTAAATGGGATTGCTTTTTTAGTCTCACTTTCTGTAGGTTCACTATTGGTGTAAAGAAATGCCTTAGATTTCTTGGCATTAATTTTGTATCCTGCTACATTGATGAATTCATTTATTAAGTCTAGTAATTTTTTGATGGAGTCTTTAGGGTTTTCTATGTACAGTATCATGTCATCTGCAAATAAGGACAGTTTTATTTCTTCTTTTCCAATTTGGATGCCGTTTATTTCTTCTTCGTCTGATTGCAATGGCTAGTACTTCCAGTACTATGTTGAACAGGAGTGGTGAGAGGGGGCATCCCTGTCTTGTTCCTGTTCTTAGGGGAAATGGTTTTAGTTTATGACCATTGAGTATGATGTTGGCTGTGGGTTTGCCATATATGGCTTTTATTATGTTGAGGTATGATCCTTTTATTCCTACCTTGCTGAGAGTTTTTATCAAGAAAGGGTGTTGGATTTTGTCAAATGCATTTTCTGCATCAATTGATATGACTATGTGATTTTTATCTCTCAATTTGTTTATGTGATGTATCACGTTTATTGATTTGCGGATATTGTACCATCCTTGCATCCCCGGGATAAATCCTACTTGGTCATGGTGTATGATCTTTCTGATGTATTGCTGGATCCGATTTGCTAGAATTTTGTTGAGTATTTTGGCATCTATGTTCATGAGGGATATTGGCCTATAATTCTCTTTCATTGTGTTGTCTCTATCTGGTTTTGGTATTAGGGTGATGCTGGCTTCATAGAATGAGCTGGGAAGTGTTCCTTCCTCTTGATTTTTTTGGAATAGTATGAGGAGGATAGGTTTTAGTTCTTCCTTGAATGTTTGGTAAAACTCCCCTGTAAGCCATCTGGCCCTGGGCTTTTGTTTGCTGGGAGCTTTTTGATGACTGCTTCAATTTCTTCCATAGTTATTGGCCTATTGAGATTTTTAGAATCTTCTGGATTGAGTTTTGGAAGATTGTATTTTTCTAGGAATATGTCCATTTCCTCCAGGTTGTCTAGTTTGTTGGAGTAGAGTTGTTCATAGTATTTTTTTTTTTAACAATTCTTTGAATTTCTGTGGGTCTGTTGTTATTTTGCCTCTTTCATTTTTGATTTTGTTTATTTGAGTCCTCTCTCTTTGCTTCTTGGTGAGCCTGCCTAGAAGCTCATCAATCTTGTTTATCCTTTCAAAGAACCAGCTCTTGGTTTCATTGATCTTTTGTATTGTTGTTGTTTTTTTTGGTCTCTATGTCATTTATTTATGCTCTGATCTTTATTATCTCCTTCCTTCTGCTCACTCTGGGCTTTTCTTGTTGATCTCTTTCTAATTCTTTGAGTTGTAGAGTTAGAGGATTTACTATCATTTTTTCTTGGTTTTTGAGGTAGGCCTGTAGAGATATAAACTTCCCTCTCAGAACTGCTTTCATTATGTCCCATAGATTTTGGATTGTTGTGCTTTTATTGTCATTAGCTTCCAGGGTGTTTTTAATTTCTTCTTTGATCTCATTGGTAACCCAATCATTATTTAGTAGCATGCTATTCAGCTTCCAAGTGTTTGAGTTTTTTGGATTGTTTTTATTGTAGTTTATTTCTAATATTATGCCATTGTGGTCTGAGAAGATGCTTGGTATGATTTCAATCTTCTTGAATTTGGGGAGACTTTGCTTGTGACCCAATATGTGGTCTATTTTTGAAAATGTCCCATGTGCACTTGAGAAGAACATATATTCTGTCGCCTTGGGGTGAAATGTTCTGAAGATGCCAATTAAGTCCATCTG